GTGGAAGGGTCTGGCTTTTCAACCTGTATGTGGACAGGATATGGGATTCTGCAGGGGCTGCTGTGATCCACGGAGGATTCAACAGCCTGAGCCCCGGGGAACATGTGGGGAGGAGGACACAGTGCTGTTTGCAGCTGTGATACAGCAGGCAACTCCACACAGTTGCCATATGTGGAGGCCTGGTGCAGGCAGAGATGCAGTTATCCACGTGCCTTTCCTCTAACCTGAAAAAATATGCTGCTTTACAGATCATGGAACTAACCTGCCGGCCTGGATTTAGGTATATTAGAAGAGAAGGGAGAAATTCAAATGGGGGAACAAGAACTCTCTTATTCAATGTGCATCTTGTGGTTTTGCAGATTTTTCCACTGAGAATGTTCCTCTGAAGTTTCCTTAGTGACTGAGCCAAAATGGGTCAAAGAGGTATTTGATTCAAAGCCCTAGGAAAAACACTTCTGTGTTCTCTTCTTCATCACTATCAGTTCTCTGTGGTACCAATCCAGCACCTTACCTCACTGACCCTTACCTGTTGCTGGCCACATCCCCCCTTGGGCAAGTCTTTTACTTCTCCCAGAACAGCCTCTGGCTCTTCGTTGCCCTCCTCTTTCACGGTCCTGCAAACCACTTCCCCAGCTGAATCCTTCAGACAATATTTCCTCCTCCTATGTCAACAGTCCCAATTTCTTTGCCAGCCCATGGGCTGCCATTAGTGGTACTGAGAGGAACCCATCCTGTGTGAAGGTGCAGCATGCCTAAGCCCTGTGATCTGTCCACCAGCAAGAGAGGATTTGTTTCTAATACTGCTACCCAGATTTACTGGTTCAGCTTCCTTCCAGACAAACTCCTCTGGGCTCAGCAATACCAGAGAGAAATGGAGCTCCTGGAACAGGTCCAGCAGAGGGCAACAAATATGATTAGGGGACTGGAGCATCTTTCTTATGAGGAAAGCCTGCGGGAGCTGGACCTATTCAGCCTTGAAAAGAGATGACTGAGAGGGAACCTCATCAGTGTCTGTAAGTATCTGAAGGGAGGGTGTCAAGAGAACGGGGCCAGGCTCTTCTCAGTGGTGCCAAGCAATAGGACAAGAGGCAACAGGCAGAAACTGGTGCACAGGAAGTTCCTTATACCTCAGTATAAGGAAAAACTTCTTCACTGTGCAGGTGGCCACACACTCAAATAGATTGCCCAGAGAGGTTGTGGAGTTTCCCTCATTAGATATTCAAGAACTGTCTGGATGCAATCCTGTGCCATATGCTCTAGGATGACCCTGCCTGAGCAGGGAGGTTGGACCAGATCCACTGTGGTCCCTTCCAACCTTACCAATTCTGTGATTCTGTAAACGGAGGTGTCAAACAGTCATGTTCTTCCTCCTTTTATTATAAGGACAACAGTTCCTACCATATCTTGCACTAAATCATCACTATCTCCTCCCACTCCTGGGAACTAAGGCCCAGCTCAGTGTTGGGAGTTATGTGGATGAGATGGGATCTGACTTAAGCACAATAAAGTTCATCCTGTGACAAGTATTTCAGTAAACAGAGGAGAGATTTTAAAATTTTTTATTCAAAATTGGCAGGGCCCTGATGCCTAGCAGAGTCCCTCGAAGAAAGGAAGAAGGTTTAGTCCTGCCTTGTGTTGGTGGTTGTTTTCTGTATGCATAAGGGAGGAGGGATGCATGCCCTGGGAGATGTCTCTTCATTTCATGCTGGCAGTCAGAGGCCTCTCAGCATCTCCCAGCTACTTTCAAGAGCAGAAGCAATGCTGACCAGACAGACTCATGTACAGAAACCAGTGCCCGTTTCTCTTCTTCACTGTAGGTGCAAAGGTTGTTCTCATCCTTCTCCTGTCAGACAGATTCCCTGCAGCTCAGCAGACACTCACAGCCAGATCCAGAACTCTGTGTGAAGTGGGACTGGAGCTGAGGGCAGACACGTTCATACTGAAAGTCTTGGTTCAACCTGCAGCAGATGGGGGCTAGTTCAGAGGTCTAAATCCCCTGCATTCAGCAATGTTCAGACTCTGGTTTGGGCCCACACTACACAAAAGAGAGAAAAATTCTATGCTGAAGCACAGGAGCAAGCAGAGATGGCAACAAACAGTTGATGCACCACATGTATCCTGTTAAAGTCCCTCTTCCCCAAGTAACCTTGCTCAAGCTGATGCTGAATATGATTTACATGAAGCTGGCAGTGTATGCATGCTGGAAAAGAGAGGAATAAAGCAACAGAGAGCTGAACTCTCTGTTGGACCCCGGGACAATTCCTGTGGATCTTGGGACAGAAGAGCAGCAATTCTCAGCACCAACTCATCTCTCAGGTCCCTTGCTGCCTGCTGACATACATGACCCAGCAGACTCCTGAGGGATGTGTATATCCAGAAGAGGTGCTGATGAAATCTGAATACTTCACAGGGAAACAGCCTGCCAATCAGTAGGAAATGCTGAGGAGAGGGCTGTAACATAAACATCTGCATCTCAAGGGCATTTGCAAGTGCCAAAGGGAAGTGCCCAAGAGAGCTGAATGGTGCCACTAGGACCTGGCAGCTGGTTTCTGTCTGGGGAGTGTAGGTGGGGAGCACCCTGGGACCCACCCCTCACCATCTAAGCAACATTTATCTTATTTTATGTCACACATAACAGTTCAGGGGAATAAAACACAAAAATGTTAGTCCTCTAGCTGAACCTCTTTGTAATATTCTGCTTCTGGAGGTGTTCAAATCCTTTCTTACTGAAGATGAATGTGAAGTTGCGTCATCCACAGTGCAACCCAATTCCCTGTTCCCTGGGGTGAAGACTCATACGCCTCTGCAGCCTCGCTTTGCTGTTAGGCAGACTCAGCTGTTTTCTTAGGTTTTTTGAATGTCCCTGGAATGCAGGTGCTGCTGCAGAGCAGAGGTTCTCACAACACAGTATCTCCACAATACTGAGGGGAAAGGGAACCTCCTCATCCTGCCCTCTGTCAGTTTGCATCTAGCAATTCCTCCCATTGAAAAGCAAACCAGCCTCCCTGGACAGCTCAAAACATCTGGGGCATGTACACCACAAATTCAGGTGAGAGATAGCACAACTGGACAAAAAAAAAAAAAAAAAAGAAACAACAAAGAAGAGATTGCCCCATCCACATCCACATCATTGTGCCTCTGTTTTCTCCCTCAAATGGCCAATTGCAGTGGTTAAGCCCATCAAAGTTGCATTGCAGAAGCCTTTGAGCACAGGGATTAAGGTGACTATACCACCACCACATCTGTGCCCAGTGCATCCTATGTGCAGTACTCTAGGGCTGTCCATGCTGTGCAAGTCTCCACAGAACAGCTGGAGGAGGAGGAGGCCTCTCCTGTGGTGTCTTTGTGGCTCCCAAGGTTGTCGGCTAGGTGCAGAGCTCTGCAGGTGCAGAGGGAATTAGACTCCCCAGTGTACATAATGAAGCTCCTGAAAAACTATCCCTATAATTAGCTGTGTACACAGCAAACACAGTCACTGGGGACACTGGTCTTACTTCCAGGCTTGTTTGCAGAACCAGATCTTCATTTATGTCCTGTTTTTTTTTCCCTCCAGCACTGAGGAAGAGTCACGTCGCTGTGCCCAATTCTTGCAGCTGTTGTGTTTACTCAGGGCCAAGACACGTACCTCAGACACCTGTGCAGCAGACCAGTCCCCCCACACTGTTTGGTCTGGACCACAGACCATGCATGACACTGGAAACATCTACAATGCCAGGACTCCTTGCAGATGTCTCTGCACAAGCTCTTCCCTCTTTACTATACTGCAGAGAAAGGAATATAACCCTTCCCAAGGAAGAACAAGCTATAGCCATAAAAAGCAGCATGTTTTCCAACTGAGGGAAAGCGAGCAGTATTCTTGGCAGGAGATATAGCCCTGCACGTTCTAGGACTGGTATAAAACCAGGAATTCAAAATCATCATACACCACTGACATGGGAATTCTGGAATGCAGGTGTGAGTTTGCTCGGTTGTTATATGAATACTACATCTGTGGGCCAAACTTTATGGCTTTCTGGCTCCAGCTGATGATGGTGACATCTCCATGTCTGGGACTACATGCTAGTGACAGAAGGTTGTGAAATGGCTGCTCAGAAGAGGGGACTACTAAGTAAAACAGTTTCATGGGCTGAAGGCATGTACTTCCACTTTTACCAGCCTAAAGAAAGAATCAGTATGTTCTAGCTAAATGAATCATCCAAGTGGAAGACACAAGAGCTAACACAGCACTTGCCTCCCTGCTGTGGCAGTCACAGTGTTGGGCAGTTACTTTGCATCCCTTCCAGCTCCTGACTTCTCCCTCTGCCTTGGGGACCTGTGTTTCCTTCATATGCAAGAACAACTTCTTTCTGTTCTCAGTTCTTCACATTGGCCTAATCTCTGAGAAAGGGCTGAGGTTTCTCAGGTCTACCCCTCTTAGAGCTCCCTGTCCCAGGCCTAGTCTCTCAAGCCTTGAGAGACATTGCAGTCACTATTTGACAGAAGCATCCATACTTCATGCCAAAGGATGCTGAGCCAAGTATGAGGCAAGCCTACTGCATGCATCTAGTACAGTAGAACAAGGATGGCTCATACACCTCACCTGCAAAGTCCCCATTCCCTATATACCAGTACTGTGACCTCTGAGGAATATTTGAGGTCAATACACAGACATTAGCCTTTCCCTCCAATGTAGTGTGGAATACCCCGTCTTGCAAGGAAACTTTCTACTGCCCTTCTGCAATATCTTAGACTTGTTCCTTTCTGCTGCACCATCTCAGAGCTGCTGTAACCAATGCTATTCTGATCCCAAACTTTCCTAGAAATCTCTCATCCTGGCAGAAATATCTATTGATGATGGGTCCAGTTCCATGGGGAATGATTTTTAGCAACCAACCTCACTGATTAAGCATTGCAAGCCTAAGTTGAACTCAGAGAAAGTAGATTTTTTGAGCTTACTCAGAAATACAGAGACTTCATCCTCAAATGAAAGATGAGTGAGAAATAACATATTTGAGTAAAAATTCAGGCTAATTCACTTTCTGCTTTATTTAGTAAAATAAATGGAAAAGTTCATATGACATCAAGCAACCAATCTGTTTGTAGTGTCTGGAAAGGCTGACAGTGGATCCCAGCATATCATCAAAAGCCAAGAGAATGAGGGAAACAGATCCTTGGGAACTACTAGCTTTACCTCTGATACTGCCATTTTGCTAGGCCACTCTTTGTTCCAACAGAGTGGCAAGGAAGCACACATTGCAGGGCAATACTAGAGGTACTGGAGTACTGAAAAGAAGTGAACTGGAGCCAATGAATGAGAAGAGATAAGAGATTTCTGGAGAGGACAGACAACATATATATACATAGAATGGTAATGGGAATACACGACCAACTTGGCTCAGGAATTGTCGAGCTGTAGCGTGAAGTGAACTCTTCATACACCACAGATTACTCTGGGCACAGTCATCCTGTTGGCTGAGAAAGAATCAGAGTTCCTCATTGAGGGGCTTCTCAGATTCGTCTTCTTTCTAAAACACATTAGAGGCAAGAAATCAGTTTTGACATTACTCAGTTTCTCAGCACAGTGATAAAAGGAAAATAACTCAAATGCCTCCCTCTGCTGTCTATGCCACTGCCCTGCCTATCTCATTTCCACTTCACAACACAAAACGTCTGTGCTAATTTTAACAGAGAAAACTCTTAACACTGAATGAACATGGAGATTAAATTGTCCCTCTCCCAGCAGAGACCTCTACTAGAGTCCTAAGCCTCCATCTGTATACTCTGTTCTGTAGCCTTCCTGATAGATTTCATTCCTATCCATGCCATTGTTTCTCTCACCTGCTCTCATATGCTGCCATCCACCATCCCATTCTCAGCATCCAAAAGCACCCTTCGCTTTGTCTCCCCAGCTGCTGTTCCTATATGATAGATGCTTCACAGAGACCTTCAGAGGTCAGTGAAGTCTTCTTGTTGTAGATGAAGAAAGAGACTCTACAAAGATATCCATCTCTGTTCTGCCCTGGATCTAATGCTTTACTCATATTCAGGTGAAAATTTATATGAAAGTGAAGGTGGTAGGGATGGGAAGGAGTTCAAGGAACTGAAGTCATCTTCTTCCAGAGCCTTGTGAACAACAGCATCATCCTACAAGATCTCAGTTTCCCATACAGGACCCACCTTCTTCATTCTTTGTATGAAACGATTACAGAAGTCCTGCACACGCTCAACCGAGATTTCATCTACAGTCATCACATCATGCTCATCATCTGGTGTGTGGAATATAGCCAGAGCTGGCAGCTGGGACTTCTTCAGCTGGAAGTATGACACTACTTGTTCATTGCTGTTCAAATTGATGTCTAACAGGATAAAGAGAATCTGTGATGGAAACAGGAAAGGAAATGTGAGAAAAACAGAAGGTGAGAGAGAGAACAGATCCCCAAACAGTGATCATATGAAGATTAACAGTGATTTTTTTTACAGAGAGTTGGAGAAAACTGTCTCTGTTAGAACAATACTTTCCTCTGCCACAATCTAGCAGCTTCATGCAGAGAATTTTTTTATCAAGTCCAGACTTACACTACCAACCAAAATGTCTCCTTTCACCTTCTTCAAAAATATATCTAGAGTATGACAGGAAGGCACTTTCCACTTCTATTCTCTTAACAGATGAGGAAACAAGATGTCTTATCTTAGCAGCACATGCCAAAGAAGTTGATTCTTCTACTTGCATGTTATTTGGATAGGATGCTCAAATACATGCAAGACCAAGAGCAGCAGAAAATGTTTTAGTGTGTGAAGAATGAAACTCCATTGCAAAAAATGTGGGAGTGAAGTACAGGACAGCAAGGATAAGAAGATGAAAGTACCAAACACAAAAAACATATTTAAGTGAGCTGCAGTGAACATAAATGAAGATGCAATCATTTGGGAAACAGAAGTTGCTGACAAGACACCAATGTCCATACAGCCCAACTCAGTGAAGGGTTGTTTAGACCTGGGGAGAGAAGCCCAACAATGAATAAGCCAGGATGAGAATGACCCACAGTTTTCTCTGCTCCCAGACAGTCTTGGAGAACAAGATCAAGCCAAGGATTAAGATTATTCTGGGATGATTCAATAGTACAAATTTGCTGTAATTGGTGACCAACTCCATGATTTCAGTTTAAAAGCTAAGTTTCAACCTAGATAGTAGAGGTGTAGTAGAAATTGGTACAAACTTAAAATTCTGGAATCTGAAATATTACCAATAAAAAATACAGCTATTTCAAAAATCTTTGTTAAATTATCTGTCAATACTAGATACAAACATTATGTATAAATTTTATGAAAGAAAATAAATACATCAAGAAACAATTTAATCAGTGACCTGATTAAATAGAATCCCTCAGCAGTTGAGATCCAAGTCAATTAAATAAACACCCAGCTAGTATGTGTCATTTTATCTCCTTTTCATCCTATTCAGTCTATTAGGTTAGCATATTCAATGTACTTACGGAAAAGGCTATGACTTGACTGACAGAAGAAAGAAGGAGAGTTTAATAAAAAAAAGTAATGTAATGTGAAGATGATGTGCCTCGTTCCCAGGCTGTGACTCATGTTTTTCTATCAATTCAATGAAGAACACTCAAGTTAGTTCAAAACTTGTTTTCTTCTCTAAAAATAAACATGGTAACTCTCCAATTCTTTATTTTATTAAATTTATGTTCTATTAAAAAAAAAAAAAATCTGGAAACTTCCCTAGGCAACAGCCTATGGAAAGGAAGGATAGTTAGGCTACTGTAAGGTTTAACTGCAGTTATAGAGAGAGATACAGAAACAGGAACAATACTTGCACTGGATATGTGATATGTACCACTTGCAATTTCTCTTCCAAAAGCCAACTGTGCCCCAAGGGAAACAAGCTAGTGATCAGACAGGTTGTTGGGAACTTCTCCCAGAGTGCTTTATTCATCTTTTTTGCAGGATAAAACACCAAGCTAAAGAATGGTCACAAATTTGAGGTTCACAGGTCTAAGGACTTGAACCAAGTGGCTTTCAGATGGAACAGCAATACTTAAAACAAAGTAAACAGAAGCCATTGCTGGAGAGGAACCATTTTAAGGGGGTTGTTACAGGGAATGGTACCACATTTTCAGCATTTCATTCACAAACTTTTGGGTTTCTCCATGAAAGATTCATCAGTCAACCATATTTTTTCAATCACATGTTAAACAAGAGGTTATTAAAAAAGGCATTTAGAATACTTAGGTTCATAAATGGTGTCACTTTCTATACAAAACCTCCTTCACCTATAAAACAGATGAATAGCATTTTAAAATAGTAATATAAATAAACGGTATTCACTATATTCTTCACTTTATCAAGCTTCCAGTCCTTGTTAAAGACCCCAAAAACTAAAAAGCTGTACACATTTTAACCATGAATACAAAGAATAGAGTAAGAATTAAAGAATTAAAAGGTTGGTGTTTAGAATTTCAAATACCTTCTTTTTTTACAGAAGCAAATGGAAACACACAAACTGAGGAATTTATTTTGTTCTAAGATTCCCATCCATTTCTATTCATAAAGAATAAATGCACTGATCATGGAAAATTATAATGACCATGAGACAAGATTCATATTGTCCAACCTCTGCCATCCAGATCCTAGTTTTCTCTCAGCCGGTCATCTAGGTGACCTCTACGATAAACAGTGACAGGCACTTTATTCCACCTATTTTAGAAGGGAAGATATGGTTGTCCTTCTCAATCAGTTCTGAAAAGAGCCTAAAACCTTTGCTCAGATGACTCACCAAAGCTATAATTCACCAAAACAAATACCATTTATAATGGCAACTCTCTTATCGTTACTAGAAACGAGATAGTTCCATCCCAAACAGAAAGTTCATTTTCCATTTCATACTCTCCTGTATAAAAGCTGGTTGAGTTTTTTTGACTCTGAAATGATTTCCATGATATTGTTTCATTTTGTAGCAATCTTCTTGTCTTACTTCAGAGGTCTTCTGCTACAGGCAGTGAAGGATATCCTGCATGCATGACAAACTCCTGACACGAACTATCTACTCCACACACGATATTATCTGTGCACTGTCACCTGCAATAAGCTCTCTTTCAGAAAATTTGTACGCTGATGCTGTTTTGGTGTCTTGACAATTTGATTCCTAGCCCAGTGCTTTTAGAACATCGAGTTCCTAGTAAATACTAAGATACGGAATGATGTTATTGCCCAAGGAATTAAAGTTAATTGAAAATAGCACTGCAATGGTAATAACCAATCTAACATTGCTTAGTTTTGCCTCTAACAAAGACAAACAGGAAGGATGATCAAGCCTCATATCCAGTGTTTGACTTTGAACTTCAGAGAACTGCAGTCTTCATTCTTTGAGGAGACTGTATAAGCAAAAAGATCAAATTCTAAAGTTTGAGTAATGTCTTACATAGCTTACAAAGTATATCAAAGCAAAAGTAGAACCTCGGTCCTGAATTAAAAAAAAAAAAAAAAAGCAAGCTGTAAAAACAACTTTACTGCAGATATCTATTAAGTGACATAGAAAATCCATATTTACAGGCTCCTCTGTTTATGGTTAAAGAGGCAGTTCTGGAGCCAGCAATGTCTGATAAGAAAAATAAAAAGTGTATGAATCACTGCTGGAAGATGACTGTAAGAGAAAGGGCATCATCCTTTCATGTCCATGGAAGAAGTCCTGAAGGACACTCAGGAGTTTCTCAGAACCCATTTCTAAATGGACCTACACATAAATTAAAAGGGAGTTTGCAAACATCTCTACCCAAAAACATTTTCACATTGGAAACCAATTGCATCAGTTGCAGCAAAAGCTGCTTTTGTTATTCCCAACATCATCTTATTGAGACTTCTGCCAACACCCATGAGATACACCAGCTGTAATTATCATGTTATACTCTGATCCTGTGGAAAGAAAACTGAAAATTATTATGCTAGTTTGGCCAAGCAATGCAAACCCTGACATTTCCTTTCCAGTAAAAAACCTGGACTATTGGCAGTACTTTCTTAAATAAGCACATATTTGATCCATCTAAGAGGGCTGGTGGATTCACTCCTGCAGCTGCAGTGCTCTGAACTCTGTTGCCTGTTATCCACCCACAATGGTTTCTCAATGTCTGCTATTTCTTCTTATTGTTGTCAGCTTATGCTGGCTTAGCATCATCTACCATTTGCTTTTTCCTCTCCAGCATTTTATAGCACCCAGGTTTCACAATAAAATCTAAAGGAATCTAGACTGCCTTCAGGCACTCACTGCTGCTCAGCATGCAGTTCGGGCTGTTTCCAAATAACAGTCCTCACCATACAGCCTCATGCCTCCTCTAGCTGAAAAATCTCAGCCTCCTCTCAGGTAAGAATGAGAAGATCATAAAGCAGAGATGAAAGGAGCATAATCCAGGAACTGGCAGGTGAATCACTTCTTCGTGATCCATTATTGGTTGGACTTGATCTTCAGAGTCTTTTCCAAACAAAATGATTCCAGGATTCCATGATTTTCTTCATTATTTGGGGTCAGCCACTCAGTAGCAGCAGGAGTTCCTCTTCATCTCTCCATCAATCTGAGCAACAAGTTTCTCTTTTCCCTTCCACTGGTGATAACAACGGCAATGACTATTCTTCCATCAGAGTGCAACAGGGATGTGTGACAGGATAGGTACCCCTTCTCCTGCTTGGGAATCCTCTCGAGGCTCTGTTTGTGTTTTGCACTGGCCTGTAGAGAAATTGCAAAGCACACCAAACATCCCCACTCTGTTCTGGCACCCTGGCTGTAAAGCGCTGCTGGATGCAGTGGCACGTACTCACAGGGAGCCCGAACACCTCTGCACTGCACAGCAATGATTCCTTGCTCAAACTACTGACAGCACTAACCCTGCAGCACAAGCAAGCCTTCCACCACTGTCCCACAGGATATGAAGTATTCATCGGTAATCCCTAATAAAATTCAAGTCAAGAATCTTGCATTAATGCTCAGACAATCTACAAGCCACAAAGAGGCAAAATATATTCAATTCTTTGCTTGTTTTGAAGTAAACCTCAGTTAACTTGGTAGTCCTGACAATAGATAACTCCATTTAGGAAAATTAGCTAGCAGAGATTACCATGGTATTATGCAGTGGCTGCTTCTGATACCCAAACTAACTCATGTTTGAAATACATGACAGAACAATGGAGACAAACCTAAACGGGCATATGACCCTGCTTACTCCTTGCTGTCCAGATCTAAAAGCCAAACAAAGAGATCCTAGCTCTCTCTTGTTTTCTAAGAGGGCAGTTTACTCCTCAGAGTGCCATTCCTTCAGGAAAAACAACTTATTAGACTCTAAATCTCTTCATCTGTGTCCTGCAGTAACACTGCAGTAAAGCGGAAATAATTAGTCAAATTCCCACATATTTATTCTTTATATTTTACTCTGGTGAACTTCTAGACTGATTTGGTGGGAAACCTGCCCGCACAAACAAAATAAAAAGTTAGATTTGGCTTGCTGAAAATTCATAAACTATCTGGACTTCAGGACAACATTTTATCCAATGTTTTGTGAAGTATTTCTAGGAAAATTATTCCCATTTTCTCAGATCTAGGCGTATCACATGAAAACTAGATGCAGCTGCATCAGCAAAGGAGAGCAGTGCTAAACAGCAATTTCTTAGAAGACCTAGGTGCTTGGGGGAGACCAGTATCAGACTGTGCTGCTCATGAAGGACAGTGATAATAGTGTTAATATAACACACATCTCACATGAGATGAATAGAATTTTTCAGATAAATGAGGGGGTTTTATCACTACATACTCATCAAAGCAAAACACTTCCGAAGGACCTTTTGACTTTGAAGCATACTTTCTGCCTAGTCTCTTGCCAATGGGTAGGGAAGATGGCAAGGTCCAAAGTGGCATAAATGGGCATAAACATGTCTCAAGACTTTTGGGAGTGCACGGTCCTGAGAGGGCCCCAGAATTTGAAGTTTGGATACACTTGATTTCAAATCTGTCCCTTTAGTGCCAAAAACAGAGGCATACAGATGTTCTAGTTATCAAACTCCAACTCTTTCCAGCTCCACGCTTCTCAGAGGAAGATCTCTTCCTGCCTCTCAGTTCAGTTGTCCCCACTGCTGGGATCTTCTGCCCACTCCCATCTGCCCCAAATGCCTTCCTGTTGCTCTGAGTTCTCCTTTTCTTGCCAATTCACTCCTCTGTTCCCCAGCCACAAATTCCCCTGTAATCCAGCTGCCTGGCAGAGAATCAGCCATGGGTTGATTTACTATTTGGGGAGCTCTGTACACAAGGGATGGGAACTAAGCAAAATTTCTCTCAAACACCCCATCTATCTCATCACCTCAGTGTGGAAAATCCAAGAAACCCACTTCCAACTCCTTTAAAATAGCCATTTCCCCAGGATCCAACCAGAAGTCTAAGGGTTAAGAAGCACTGACATTATTTGCTATCTGGTCACTTATATAAGGCTTCTTGGCATCTTGCACGCTGTATATACAAATTAATCTCTCACATCAGTGGAATGCAACCGTCGCCAGACTGAAGTAGAGCAGCTGTTTGTCATCTTCCAGTACAAGGGAACAAAACCGGACCAGAAGCAATGAAATACACAGTGTTCCACCAAGAGAGCAGAGGAGCAGGATAGAGAGGATATTTTCCCCACAAGTAGGTAAACTGGCAAAAGGTGAACAGAAACAATCCCTCCACCTAATTACCCATCTAATCTTCTTTTTCTGCTACTTGACCTTTGCTCTCATAATGCACAGAGGAGATTATGCCCTCCCCATTCATGGCAGAAATTACTGTAATTTTTTCTCCCTAACGGCTCCTCTTTCTCTCTGTTTAGACTCACCTTTCCCTTGAAGAGCTCTGCTGAGGCCCGAAACTTGCGCATTCGCTCAGGGTGCTTTGGGGACATCTTGTCTGTGATCAGGAGGAGGTTGAACTGGAGTGAACTCTGCATCACACCTACTGATGTCTGCCCATCACAGAGAGAAAAACACACACAGACAAGGAGATTGAGAACATTCAACTTGTAGTGGATGCAGTGTCAGAGGGACATCAGTCCTCCTGACTTGGTTGAGATTTCTTTGCAAATCAGCATCACGAGCAGGAGGGTTCCAATCTGGGTTCTTTGTTGAAGCACTCAACCCCCTGACTCTGCTTATTCCTAAAATGAGTATCTGAAGATGACAAGGGTTCACCACTGTCCTTAAGATAGTGATTAGGCAGGGGGACTGCCTATATAAAGCAAGCTGAAGACTAGAGCAAGGATGTGGAGAGCAAAGACCAGCAAACAGTGGATATAAGGGTGCTCTAAATCACTGAGGTCCAGCATCCAGCTGAAATGGGAGCAAGAAAGTGGGAAGGATTTGTTGTGTCAAGGTTGGTGTCTCCCCTTACTTCCTTTCTTTAGTGTTAGGCTGTGCATAGCATGAGAATCAGTCCAGAGTTTCAGCAACCCCAGGGCGTGGGCACTCCGGAGTGCTGAGGGTTAAAATTGCCTTGGCAGTGCCTCAGTGAGAGAAGACCTGGAGCCTGCTGTCTCTTTTTCTGGACAAGGGCCAAGCGGGCAATACACACTGGCCCTCTGTGAGGAGACAGGGCTGGCACTGCCCAAGAAGCCACCACACCATCTCGATGAACTCACTCACTCGTCATCTCACTTCTGTCTGCTTCCTGCAGCCCTGCAGCCTCTCCCTCAAGTTAAACACTAACCAGGCCAGACCTGCTGCCTCCCCCGTGCCACCAAAACCACAGAGGCACAGACTGTACAGCTCCCAGCCAGCAGGAGCAGAAAGTTTCCACCGGCTCCAGGAGTAACAAGGAAGGGGTCAGGGAGTGCATGCTGGCGAAGGCAGTGCACTACAGAGCATCTAATTTTTGGCAGATGAGATTCTGCTGTTAGCCTAATGTTTATCAGACATTTTGTATCCCTTCACTTCTCTGGTGGTGCGCAGCTGAGGCAGGGGAGAGTAAAAAACTAAGGCTGGAGAACATTAGAGAACCTCATGGGAGAGGACGAGGCGGAAGGTGAGGGTGAAGTCAGCCAGCACCAAGGGCCGTTACAAGACTGGGCTGAGAGTGGATAGGGCTCAGCAGCAGTTCCTCCAGCAGCTCCACACAAAGGTGTGCTTGTCCACACAACTCCGTGCGAGCAATCAGCAGAACTCATCAACATGGTCAGGTCACATCTGACTCTCCTGGTAAGCCCACAGGGTAAGCATTGCCTAAAAATGCCTCAAGTATGGAGGAGAAACACTAAAGGCCCCAGGATGGGGAGAGAAACTCCTGGCAGCACTCAGCACAATCCATGTGACCCCGTCCTCTGCTGACCGGCAGCATTCTTGGATGCAAACAGCATATGCACTGGGAATAAATATTTACAAAAAAACAAGCTACCTTAGGGGAGCTAGGAGGGCTTTGGGCCAGAGACTGCAGGAGGCACTGTTAATTGCAGCACCTTGATAGCACTCCAGAGTGCCCAGAAAAAAAACCTAACAACTTGTGTACTGACAGTCAGGGTGGAGGGGACCAGCTGAACAGCTCAGGACTTCTCGGTGAGGGACACAGCCTGGGTACCAAACAGGACACCATGCAGTGAGAAACCCAAAGCATCAGCAGAAACACATGAAGAAAGAGCTATGATCTAATGAATTGCAAAAGGATGCAATGGAGGTTCCAAAAGTTAAGAAGGCCTGGGCAATTATAGAGCTAGCAAGAACATCCCCGCTGACGTGACCTGAGTTGCTCTCAAAGTGAGGAGAGTGAGGCAGGATATAGCAGTTCCCAGAAATATTTTGTTATTTTAAAATGCATTTTTCACATCCCTTATGAAGATGAGAAAACAAATCCACTTCTTTGGAGGTTGTTTTGTTTGGGGTTTTTTGGTTTTGTTTGGTTTTTTGTTTCATTTGGGGTTTTTTGTTTTCTTTCTTTGTTGTTGTTGGTTTTTTGTTTTGTTTTGGGGCTTTTATTAAAGAAAAAAGACAAACCTCAACAGTATTTCATTGTGGAAACAAAAATTTTATATTTTCCAAGAAAAAAGCTCTCCTACTTGCAGGCTGTGACTGAAATGGGGATTTTGTCAGTTCTCTTAGATGATCCTTGGGATCAACTTGAAAGGTATAGCTCTGAAACAGGTTGGGCCATTCTCCTTTGATTAAAATGGACCTGGTCAGCACTATTATAGCTATCCAGAAGGCCACAAAATACGCCATCAGCAATGATAAATTCTCAGCCTTGCAGCCACTGGGGCTTCTAAGACCTACTGACTCCACAGCAGTTAGCCCAGTGAACTGCTGAGATTTCAGAGGAGCCTAAATCCTTGGTCACCCTCTACAGCAGGGAAGAGCACTGTGACCCTGCCAGTGCCAGTCAGATAGGTGAGCCAGTGAAGATGGCCAACATGGAAGCATCCTAAGCCTGACTCTGTGTGTGGGTGGGGGGAGGGGGAGGCAGGGAGTGTTGTTGTTGTTGTTGAACAGATGAATTCTGGAGTAAAGAATGGAGGGGATGGGAAAAATTTTGCTTGGGAAGATCCCAACCCACTTTTGAATATGCAGTCAAATACCTAGGATTACATCAAACCCTGTCCAGTGAGTGATGAAGAAAAGCCTTCCTTCTGAGAGTGTGTCATTTGAGTTTCCATGTTTCTCAAGGCTTCTAAGCCAAAGAGAGGAGATTCTGGTTCAGCTGGGTCTGCAGGCATGGCACAACATGGTAAATGTCCATGTGACGAAGCAGCACTGTCTGCAGGAGTGGTAAGAAATGGAGCGGTCTACCCATCAACATCCCAAATTTACTGGAAAGCTAAAGGAACCGCCATGACTCCCTTCCTCTCCCACCCCACTCACACACCCCAGCAAAGCATCTGCTTCCAGGCAGATATGGTGTAGCAGTAAAGAGCTGCATGGCTCCCTCAACCCCATCCACCCTCACACACACGTGGGTATGCAAACTCTTGGGCCCAGGGACACACACAAGAAGGTCAAGTGCAAGGGTGAACGCTGCAGGGAGCTGGTAATTACCACAGGATTGTACTCTGTCACCAGGCGGAGCTCATTCATCCGAACGAAACGAGTCATCTTCTCAGTATCGACTTCTCTGTTGTTCATATCCAGATCCCTCCGGTCATTGTCTACCTGAAGACATGCAAAGACACCTACAGTCACAGCTGTCCTCTCATCTCAGCACCCCCTCCAGAGGCACTGATGGCACTCACACCACTACACACAGACGCACACAACCTCTGGGACATTGCCATCCTCTCTCCATCACGACATAATTCCCAGCTCTCCCCACCACCACTTCTGGAGGTCTAGAACCTACAGAGGCCAGCCTGCACTTTAAGATCCTCTACCTTTTTTCAGTGTCCCAAGTACAAGGCAAACTCATGGCATAGAAATCACTTAGGACTCCAGCCATCCCTACAGTATCAGCTTCTGCTGCACTGGAGACAGGGAGAATTAGCTGACAAAGTATTCTAGGCACTGTAGAAAAGGGTCATTAAATATCGTAACTCCTCACATCAATTTTGGCTTTACATCCCTTTTAAAAAGTCTTCATCTGCTTATTCTGTTTCTTCTACAAGTAATAAACATTGGCATGGACCTGCATGGAATTCCTGGAAACATTGTGCAAGTAAGAAATCTCTCCAATAAAAAGAGGATTTTTCTTCCAGTATAGCAGGAAAAAAAAAAAAAATCAAGCCCAGTACATTTTAGCTTTAGAGGAAAATCCATCCTGCCACATACCTCCCCACACTCCTTTTCCCCAAAATTATGTGATTTTATTGAGGTTTTAATGACCTGGTAAACAGAAAACAAGCAGGCAACCATTGAATGATAGCTAAACCAACTGAGTTTAGGGGCAGAGTTCCTGTGCAGTACCAGCACAGGATGTGACTGAACTAAGCCACTGGGCCCTGGCATGAAATAGGATCAAAGTTTGGGATTTGATGGCCATTGATACACATGTTGAATGAGGTTCTTGGGGCTAAGGAGTGGCCCACATGCACACTCCAGATTTTACTTCCCGCATCTGTGCAACCTCTGAAAGTGCTTGTGTTAGTTTTTCTTGTGAGGTGCAGACATCTAAAGTAATTCTTGCTGTTCTGTGGTCAGTGGCAAGGTCTTTTATACCAATCACCCACCCTGTCTGACAACCCAAGCTAGTGCTTTTCAGACTGTATGGCCTGATTGCTCCAACAGATTTTCCTCCTGCGTAAAATGAAACTGTAGTTCTGCTCAAGTAAGTAACATCAGGACAGAGGAACACCTGGGCAGGTGAAATCAGACAGGTCTTGGGGACCAATCTAAAGCACCCTGGACTCTACAGAAAGTCTTTTCTTGACTTTCATGGCCTTCTGAAAACACTTGATTTCCATTTTGGGATAAAAACATCTTGAATCTGCACTCAACATTTATGTTCTTAATTAAATAAGGATGGAAAATAGCCTGCATCTAATAGTTGAAGCTGTAGTCAAAATGTCTTTATCACTCCATATAATTAGGTTGTTAGCATCTGTTAATTATGTTCTTTTTAGGTCCATCAGGCCAGATTCCTCACTAGAATAAATCAGTTTCCTTACACTATATGCAGAGAAGTCTCACCAGTTGACAGCAGTCCCTCCTACTCCTGTAATTATGGTTTAAACTTCTAAGCATTATAAGTGTTTCATACTCTGCAAAGGTAAAGAAAAAATTAATTTACGCCTCTGATTCACTTCTGTCCTGGTCACCCATCTTTGTATTCTTCAAGTGAGTATTTGATTACAAGTTCCTGTATCTGTTCTTTTAAAATTCCTTTTTATCTCTGACCGCTAACTCCTACACATTATCCAACACAGGATGAAATGAAAAATAATGTTTGATAATTTAAGAAAAACTGACAATGAGACAAGTGAATTGTCAACCACACTTAAACCTGACTAGTATATTATTTTCCTAGCTGGTTTTTTTCCCTATTAAACAAGAGTTCAGTCACAAAGGCTAGATTCCAAAGAAAGAATATTCAATATAATCCAAATTCCAAGAATCCAAACACTTTCTTTTATCAAACACTCTCCCAATGCAGTCATCCTCACTATCTGCCACAGCACAAAAACAAAGGATGTTTTCAGTACTTTTGGAAGAAAACCACCATGACTAAAAAACAAAACTGAAAAGGGTGTTGCTTTGAAATTGCAACATCCACACATAGCAAATAAATGGTTAAATAAAAGGAGCTGCCCACCTATTGCTCACTCTTAGATCATTCTTCTTGAATTATTTGGATAATGTCAGTGGTAAACACAGTGCAGGAAATGATGCGAAAGAACAGAGAACAAACTGTCCAATCTTTGTACAGCCTGGATCTAGAACATGGCCAAGCTGACACATTTAGTTTCCCTAGAACATGTAGTGTTTCCCCATTTCTCCCCACCCCATGCACTTAGAGCTCTGGTGACACAACATTTCACTGGCTCTTAGGACTTTTTGTGCTACCTGGGGCCCCTTTCCTCTTCAGATACACCTACCTCTCCTCAAGTGCCATGCTTGTGTGAAAAGGGGCAACATAAGGAAATTGATATAACCAGTAGAATGTTTGCTCTTAGCTGTTCTTGGTATTCTTGAATCAAGTAAGTGGCCATTTCCAGTATTGTATCCTTAAAATTTTAGCAAACATAGCTACAGTGAGGCACCCACGCATACAGTGGAGTCAACAAAAATTTGATCTTGCACAGTCTCCATACCTAAGGAACTCCAAAGTGACGTTTCTAATGGGTCCAAAGCTTATTTAGGGAATAAGTCTGCAAACCACAGTGTAGGAGACAGAAAAGAGCATTTGGGATTTCTTTTGGTAGCAGAGAATCTGTAACTGCAGAGACCCAGCTCTATCTGTTTTCAGTCACGATGGAAAAGTTTTGTATGCTGGGAGACAGCTTTGCCTTCCTGAAGTGACATTTGGCATGATTTGCTATCAAGCCTGCTATGTTGATCCACTGTAACATGGACTTTTCATGTGTCTCAGAACATTTTCCAAAATTATGGAAACCCCATCCAAGTTAATGCCAAGCTCCAGGCAGGCCATGCAGAAACACAGACACTGCTCTTTGCAGAGCACTGGGTGCTGAACCAGATCCATAGGGCAAACACTTTAAAAGCCAAATCTCATCAGATATGATAATGTTCCATGTCTCACTGACGGGCACTCTGCAAACAAAAAGCAAAAGCCCTCTTTGGGGCAGGAAGCTATACCGATGTGCTTTGAGGTGGGCAGGCAGCCTGACTGCCAATGGCAACCCTTTTTTTCTGGCTTGCTCTAAGGACAGGTGAGAAGCTTCGAAGTTTTTTACCACTACTTTCCAGAGATCTCCGTTCTGTACCGTGACTGCGGGCAAGTTGAAAGTGCTTGTCCTGGAGCCCCTCTCACGCAACGCCAACGTGAGGGGGACCCAGGATGCTCACGCTGGAGATACAGCATTTTGCCTGGCAGCGCGTTCCCCGGGAGCTGCTCGTGGTTGTGTGTGCCCCCCGCCCCACGCCACGCCGCGGTGCCCACGCACCCTGCGGAACAGCGTGACGGTGTTCGCCGAGACGCCGTAGTGGGACAGGACGGCGGGGCTGGTGCTGAGGCCGAAGGGCACCTCCGGAATCCGTCCGGCCGCCAGGCGAAACTGCGACGCTTCGGCGCTCTCCGGTTCCTGCGGAGGCAGAAGGGAGGGCAGTGAAGGGGCGGGCGGTGACGAGCGGAGCCCCCGCGGGGACCCCCCGGCAGCGCCGCCCGCCCGAGCGGCGCGGGGGCGACCCCTGCTGCCCACCGCGGGCACCACGGCCGGCCCGCAGACCCACGCACAGCCCTCGCCCCGCCGCGGGCACCACGGCCGGCCCGCGGACCCACGCACAGCCCTCGCCCCGCCGCGGGCACCACGGCCGCGCTCGGCCGGGGCCGTCAGCAGGCGGCGGTGCCCAGCGCCCCTCCCGCCCCAAGCTACGGCCGGCGGGGTGTGCACCCTGCCCTGCGTTCCTCCCAAACCTCGCTACCCACGCTCGCGGTGAACACACCGGGGTGGTGAAGAGCCCTTGGGCTCTCAAAGGGAAGAGGACAAACCCAGAATCTGGATGTAGCACATTTAATTATATATATGTGTGTGTCTGTCTGTGTGTGCATAAATATATAACCCCCATAGTTTTTAAGCTAACCTTGATTCTAGAGTCAGGGGTTTACAATTTTTTGAATGCCTTACATTATCAGTATCCTGTCTCCTTTTAAAAAGATATCTGAAATATATCCTTTCAAAAGTAGCTAATTCAGATATATCAAAGGATAGAAATGTGCAATTTCTCAGCAATTTGAGGTCCATTCTTTTTCTTGCAGTGAGAGCATTAACTACAGCCCTAGCCTATATTAAAGCCTCCCTTGCTATTCCTATTCCCAAATTTTCAGTCATGTATTTTTATTATTGGACATAAATTCTCAAGACATGGTCTCTGCTTGGAAATTGGTTTGTTTTTCTTTTTAGTTTGAACTGTCAGCTCAGCTGTTTGTGAGCCCAGAGAGAATGGAAAACAAAATTCTTTGTTCATTCCAAAGAAAATCATCTCTTGCGACCTGTTTTGGAAATGCCAGCACATCAACACTGCTTTGGTAAGAGCACTAAAGCCGAGGGTGGGAATAATCTCACAGAGTTTTGGAGCATTCCTGGGAAAGCTGGGGTTTAATGAGGCCAAGCATGGCCCTTTCTCGCAGACACGCAGGGTTTTTGGAGCAGCGTGCTGTTTTTCCACCATGGCATGCTGTTCCCAGTCGGGGAGGCCATGCTCATTATACGGGAAGCTTGCCGAGCCGCGTACTGCAGTGAATTGAAAGGCTGCAGCAGAGAAATAATTTATGGTGAACAGAGAACATGGACATTATTTGGATGAATATACCCTCAGGCAGAGGGCCAGGCCCTCACGGTACACATACGTCTTTATCTGCTGTTCAAATGCAGCTCTGTCGGGCTTCAGGCATTGAATGCCCGACACGTCGCTGGCGGCTGCAGCCTCATGCTCCTGGCAGCTGGGCCCGCACGGCAGCAGCCTCCTGTCTGGCTCTGAAGAATAAAACCCTGCAGCAGGAGGGAGGTCACTGTAGCACAAGACAAAAGAAGCCATGTCCCTGCTGTAGCGCAGGAGGAGGCTCTGGGTACAGTCCTGCCACAAGCTACCCTGGGGGAAGTAGGCGTCTCAGCACTTTCATTCTGCGTGTGCAGATTGCCTCGCTGGTTTGCACAGCTTTAGCGCTGCAAGAGCAACCCCCAAGGAGCTCCAAATGCCTGCAGGCACTGAACTCGAGGCAGCTGGTGCTCTGTGATCAGTGCTTATAAGACCCCTGGGGCATAAGCCTCCAGCACTCACACACTTGTTGCTGCTTACAGTGCACAGGCAGCACCACCCGTCCTCACTCTGTACTCGGGTGTGAGATGCCAGTGCCCTATTCTGAGGGCACGATGCCCTCCCTAGCTGCCCTCCAGAGCAGAGCTGTCCTCTGGCATGGGGCAGAAATAGGAGGGTGCTTGCAGAAGTAGGTTTTTTTGAAAGCCTTCCTTTTGAAAGTCTTCTCTGACATGAGGCAGTGTGTGGGCAGCAGAAGAGCAGAGCTCAAAGAAAAGGCAGAAAAAGGTGCAGTTTGAGGACCTTAAAAGTAATAAGGATCCTGTCAAAGAGGCCTCTGTTTTGGAGTGCTCTAACTCAATAAATATTTTTATTTCCTGAGGAAAAATATGCATGCTATTTTGGGGGCAAGGGGCTTGTACCCATGACTCACCTTTGAATTCAATTGAATTTAGATAAAAAGAGACAGAGATCTCAAGGATATCAACGCTGGGGAACAAAGCAGTGAGACAAAGACCATGCCTTCACCCTCCCTAGGAGGAGGCTGTTGCCTGAGCCCAAGCCATCTTGGACTTCAGAGGACCCACACCAGCACTGCTCCAAGACAGCTTCCTCAGCCCCATCACACAGGCAGTGCCTTACTCTATCTTTGCTGACTACAGCAAAAAACTGACGTTCCTACTCATCTCTCACCAACACTGTTTCTATACTACCCACATTCCTGCTTTGCTTCCCCCTGCAGTATTTCCCTTTCTCCTGCTCCAAGATCTCCTGCAACCTCCTTCACCTTCCTCACCTTCCTCCCTTGCTCCATCTCCCTTTCCACACAGAGACCAAGTTCCCTGTATTCTCTTCGTGAGAGAGAATGCCTTTCACCTAATCCCTCCACATGCCTGTCACAGCTTCAGCACCTTTCGGGACAGTAACTGCCTTTGACAGGTGTTTACACCACATCCAGCCCCAGACTGTCATCAGTGTGGGGCAGGGATCACAACTGGCAGAGGGGAGGTGCTGTGAACACACCTGGAAGAATCCGATGACCGCCACCTCTGCACCACTGACAAAGGCTTCAGCATCTGCGATGTTGTTTAACAGGATAGGTTTCTTTGTGGTGCTGGATGTGCCTGGAGAGGAAAGATCAGGATTGGGCAGAGGGTACACAAAGAGCAGCTCAAAGAGGCTCCCCCAACATACACACAAGCATCCCAATCTTACAAGCTCAACCAAACACCTCTCCTGCAAGCTCAACACAATGTTTGTGCAGCATACCTTGGATAAGGAGGACTCCTTGCAGCAGACCCAGTGTTTCCCTGAGCCTGGAAGAAAGCTCACTTACTGTGGGATGCAGAGTCAACATCTCCAGCACATCCAGATGGGGAGCATGTAGTAAGTAGGATAACAAAGAGACACGGGAAGACGGACATGCCCATGGTACCAGCTTGCCTTCTCCTCGCTATGCCACCCTGCTCCAGTCCTCCCCTCAGCAAGAGACACGTCAGCTGCTACAGGGGCCCACAGCCACTCCTGGGGTTAGTGGGAAAGGAGCAGCTGGCCCAGGGCAAAACCTTCAGCTCCTGGGATAACCACCTGGCTGGAGAAAGCCCCTCCCTGCTGTGTGGGCACCAGCCTTGGAGAGCTTCCCTGGCACTGCTGCTGGTGCGTCCTCACCCACAGCACTGGACATCTCGGCTGCCCACACCTTTGTGACCAGGCACCCCAGCTGGGTAAGAACATCCCTCTCCAAGTGCTCTGTCCCAGCAGGCCAGCCACAGGGACATGCAGCTCTCGTGTTAGCTCTGGGGAACAGCTGCTACGGTAGGTGTTAAATATGAGGCTATTTTATAGCTCCCTGGCTCATACAAGTTTCCATCTGGGATGAGAGGTGGGGGCTGTCTAACCCTCCTAATCACAGACCAGACTTTGGGCTTCAAAGGATTCATGAAATCCCTGAAGGAAAGAGTTCTGAAATAATTTGCTTAGAGAGTAAGGCTGATGTTTTGAAGGAGGAGGGCTATTTCCCTGCTGAAATATGCTCTTAAGCCTTCCTATAATGCATTCTTCATATACATATCAGTGAAAAACATGCTCTAGAAAAGAAGTTACACTCACGCAAAAAGGAAGAAAGAAACTGGTTTTATTCTTGGGACACCGAAGTCTTATTACAGCAACTAGCTGCATTCCCCCTGACTGGTTTTGCCTGCACAAGGATGGATTTTAACAGGGTAGGGCACCAGATACAGACCAGGAGACCATCACGGGAGGTAAGTAACCATTTACAATGAGTCAGAGCACAATGGCAAGTGTAACTCAAGATAGGGATTTTCCAGGGACCAGTCTGCCCTGCCAGGTGATCTTGTTTCCTAGAAAAGGCACTTCCGGGACCGGAGTTGGTACAGGAGGGATGGTGGCAACAGGAGGAAGTATTGGGAGAGAGGAAGGGAGATTCTTCCCAATTTAACCCATTATGTGTCATGATGGGGTGGTGGTGAGTGCGGTTGGGTTGTTTTCAGTGTATCAGAAGAAGCAGCAAAGGCCGCCTGCAGGGCTGTGCATCGACCAAGGCTGGCACAGAGCCCCAGCATTCATGGGAAGGGCTGCCAGGGCTGTGGCCAGCCGTGGTGGCAGGAAGGAGCAGCGTGGTGGGCATGGCCCACCTGGAGACTGGTGCAGGAGGCAAGGGGACGGGAAGGGGGAAGGCAAACTGGGTGAACTTATTCCGTCCATTCCTTCTTGATGGACAGGTTCCACTCCCAGGTGAGATGGTCATGCTTGTCATCATCCGTGAAGAAGGATTTGTTGTGATAGGTGCCTCGAGCCAGCATACCCTTAGGAGCCTCTTCAATAGGTGTCAGGAACTCATACTCCTCTGGCCGTGGCCCATAGCTGCCAACCATGAACGTGGCTTTGTCCACTAGGAGAAAACAATCCACAGGGGATGAGTCCCTCAGATGGAGAATGGTAAAGAGAGAAGAAGCCATGAGCGTAAGTGCAGATCACGGACAGAGAGGAAATGAGAGAGAAAGGGACAGTCCATGTCAGCAAAGGGGAGCAGAACTGGTGGAAACAGTGAGTTAGTGAAGCATGAGGACAGCTGAAAGGCTAAGATGGGTGGATGGGCAGGTGAACAGGATACTCAGTCTATACCCTGTCACATCTATATGCTGCTAGAAGGGAGTGAGTACACACAGCATATGGCTCAAGGTCTACCTTGATTCCCCATTACTTCTCTTTCCTGGTGAGAAGACACCACTTATTTATTGTGCTGAACAGGATGCTGAAGCCTTAGAAGTGGTTACATGCAAAAATGCCTGTGGGATGTGTGTGTGCAAAATGGGGCTTTCCTCTGCCTTGTCCAAGCAGACCAGCACTACACGAGGAGGAGAATTCATCAGCAAATACAGGACCCTGCACACAGCAGGAAGCTTTGTAGAGCAGGTCTGAATTTTACCAAGTGCTTCTGAAGAGCTTTCAGGGGATGGGAAGCTTCACACAGGCTGAGACACTCTATAGGGGGAGGAGGGGAAGTGAAGGGGAGGTGAAGAGCTCGTATGGAGAAGAAATCTGTGACAAGCACTGTCTAAGCAGAGTCTGTGCAGACTTTGCTGCTGCAGATAGTGTAGCATACAGATAGCAGAGCTGGCTCATACTGAGTTCACAAGGGACAAGAAACAATTGCCCTGGCTAACAGAGGCTTATGCACCCTGCTGAGAAGTCACACCCTGCATGGCAGTGCAGGGAAGTGACTTGAGACCAAGGGAGCCTCTGTCCCAGCCAAGAGCTGCAGGAATACTTCTTTGAGCAGAGGGAACACAGAGGTAGGAGCACTGGTGTGCAGGGCATGGAGGACTCTTACTCACCCTTCACCCCTGTCCGGTAGGTGTGCTGCACATATTTCAGTCCTGACACAATGTCCCTGTTTACCTGCAAGAAATGACCAGAAGTAAGCGTCAGGAGAAGGGTTTTGGTTCTGTATCTGCTGATTTTCTCTCTCATTAGAGACATACCCATCTTGACTCCCTATAGCAGGGAGGCTCAGAACAGGACACATTGTAGAGAGCACTAATACAACTTTTCCATGGGCACCTGGAGACCAACAGCATCCTCTGTACATCTCCTGCACTTCTCCATCCTTTGCCTGACTTTGAAGCTGACTGGAGCACATCAGTCATGTTCTCAAGACAGGCTGATGAGGACAAAGAAAAATGAAGCAGGAAGTTCCCAGTTAACAATTTTCATATTGAAAACCATATGTGGGTAACTAGTCATCCCTCCAATACAAATGGGTGGGCAAGATTAGCTGAGCACTGCCAGCTGTCCTCTAAGGTCCATGGGGAGCTGGCAAGTTTCTCTTCAAGAGACAGAGGGACAGAGTTTTGTTCATAATTATTCCTCAAATCTCTCATCAATAGCTTGGATGTATTCCTTGCTGTTCCCTTCCAGCATACACTGCCTTCTTGCAGTGTACACTACTTAATCTGAAAACAAGATGGACAGATCCTTTTATATCACAGGGGTGAATTCACATGATGCTGCCAGCTCTTACCAGCCATGGGACAGAGGGAGTTAGAATAACCTGTCTGGCTCCAGATATCTCCTGTCAACAGGGCTCAGATACAGATGGAAACATTTCATAGCAAAAAGAGAGGTGGAGGTGTCTCTTGTTCTCTTGAGAAAGCAAGCCTCAGAGAAGAAGGGAAGTCTGCCCTACAGAACCCAAAATATTAACACCTTCCCTTGTCTGCCTCAGGAGAACTACCTTCCTTCCATTTTTGTCTTCTCTGCCAAGCCTAGCTTTGTCTGAAGCAAACATCTGTGGAGATGATCAGCTCAGTGCTGGATGCCACGCTGCAGCGTGGCCAAGTTTTGTTTTTAGCTGCAAACACAAGAAATGGCTGACACACTGGTTAATGGGAAAGAGGAAGAAATGAACCCGTTTGGGTATAGCATGACTCAGAAGAACTCAGCTATCTTCAGCCAGACGTTACAATATTAAAAATCCTTTTAATGTGTACATGAAGCCCAGTAATACTGACTGAACAAGCAGTTCATGGAAAGCCATTATCTCTTGTCTTCTCCTCCCTGTCCACTTCCACTTTGTGTGAAGTAAAGGTTTTCTGGTGGCTAAAAAGCCAAACCAAACTCAGCCAAAACTACCCATCTGGCTTTCAAACCACCTATTGTTCACCAGTGTGAGTGGACAGAAATCAATTTTCTCCAAGGGGCAAGCAAACAGAAGTAATTCCCTGGAAACAGCTGTTCCCTTGATGGGTAGAACAACATCTGAAGCTAGGAGAGCTTTACAAGGGCCCAGCTACTTGGCAGGCACGCTGCCTGGCACTAGTTATCTGATAGACTGCTGCTGACTGGCTTCAGCAACTGATGAGAAGCAACAGGAAGGAAAACAACTCACTCTGAAGTGGATTTTAACTCTGTATTCCACTCCTTCCTTTAATACAAAGGTCTCTTTCTTGAGTGCTTCAAGGTCACCTGTAAGGAGAGGATCAAGCCATTAGCTAGAGTTGTCACAGAGAGGAGAGACCATGCATGGGGGGGAGGATGGGGCTGGGATTGGTGTTGGAGGTGAGCATCTGTTTGAAGGATGGCAACACCTGCAAAAGGAGTACACGGAGGTCTGTATAAGCAATTGCACCATGAGACCAAATACACAGAAATGCCTGGCTGTACCTAGGTGTCTGTGCCCACATCTATGAAGATAATGCCTAAACTAACACAGGTCTGGGCACATATACGTAAAGATGTTTACGCATAGACTTGTTGTTGGGCATCTGCAGGAGCGTGTGCATGCTTCCATCCATGCCCAGCCCTGGCTTGGGTGAGTGGAGCATGTTTCACAGCTCCTGCCCAGCTTGGAAGGCTGCCTGGGCTCTGCAGGGATCTGCGTGGTTTTGGTTGAACAGGAAGCCTCTCTGCCTCTCTGGGCCCAGCTTCCTCTCTCTTCAGAAAAGCCCATATAAGGTGAAGCCTGGTTCTCTCCCCATGTCCTGAGGAGCCGGAACTGCAGTATTGCTCGATTGTGAAGTTTCAAAACAGCCTGTTACCAAATGAATGCACATCCCTTGTGCTTGTGAGGTCTCATTCAAAGGAAGTAAGCAGAGATGGCAGAAGAAACCCAGGAGCACCTAGAGCAGTCTAGATGAAGAAAAAGACCCTTGATATTTTCCTATGTTACATCTCCTTCTTTTTTATTCATATGTGGATACCTTAAAGTAAGAAATAAGGCTAAGATGCCCTCTAAAGCCCACTGTAGCATCCCAAGGACAAACTTCCTTTTAACTTAAAGCATGCCAGGGCCTTTGCTTGTTCTCCTTTGTGACCAAGGACAGATCCTGTGCCTACCTGTAAGGTCCATAGTGATCGGTCCTGGAGCAGAGTCACATACCAGAGTGAGTCGAGTGACCACCACATTGGGAGCTGTTGGGTCTGCAGGTAGGAAAGTCAGGGGAAGCTGTCAGCTTGCAAAATTAAATGCAATCAGAGGGGAACGACTCTGAAGAAACAGGGATGCCTTCCCACACAGAAACTGCATTTCATGAAACACCCAGTAACGCCAGGCTTCTCTTAGCACAACAGCACCTCACGTTTACCCCAGTCCTTCAACATGGATCCCTCTGGCCTCCATCCCAATACTTAGAGGAGGTCTTTCCACTACGGAAGACTTCCTTT